ATGGGCGAGGCATCTCGCACCCGGCTCACCATGTTTGGTGTTGATCCGGGGGGTGACGTGGATGGCCGCTGACGGCTTGGCTTGACTAAAATCGTGCCATGGTCATGTTCCGGTTCTTAAGGAGTCTCGTGTTCTGAAAGGACTCGGGGTCTATGTTTTTGCCCCGAAGGCGGTTCGAGCGATTGCTGACCGAAGACGTTTGAGGCTCGTGGTCCCTTGCTTTCTCTTGCCTAGGCTTTGCACTGGGCACCAGCCCGCCCTCCCCCCCCACCACCAGCCCGCCCTCCCCCCCACCATCTCCATGCTGATGCTGCTGATGAAGCCTCTCCTGGGCCCATGCCCGGTGTTGGTTCAGCGCTTGGCCCGGTACAGTCAGAGCCCTCAAGTCATCACAGTTCCTTGTGATGCTTGACATCAAAGAGGGGACAAACACGACAAAGTCGTCACAAAGAGCGTCCCCCTACTGTTGCTGCCATTTTGCGGGCCTCCCGAGCCACCTGCGCCTTTGGGCGGGCATAGCCCGACCCGCGCAAAAGCAGCTTGTGGGATATGATTCCCTTTTGAAAGCTGGTCTCGTTTACCGGGTTTGGTTCTTGGCATACGCCCCTTCTGCAGGTTATCAAAATGCTTACTTAACTGCATGTTCTTGGCAATGCGTTGGGAAAGCCCTGGTTGCGAGGATTTCTTACAGTGCCGCTCTCCAAGAAATGCGGTCATACCTGTTTTGCGCAGTCTACTTAGGGAAACCAAGTTTGTGAGGACCCTCGCAAAAAACAGTAAGGTGAGCCCAACCTCCCTCCCTGACGAGGCGGTTCACGAACCTCCTAGTTTCGGTGGGCGGTTAGTACAACAGCCTAGCTTGGGTGTGTGTGGTGTTACAAGGTTTTTTTTTGTAAGAAAAGAAAAAACATGCCCAAAATGCACAAGATCTCCGTGTGACAAGAATGTTTTTCAAGCGAGAAACTCCCACACATGCAGCAGGGCAATGCGTGTTAAGTCTGCAGCATCTAGCCAGCATCACGGCATCATGCCTGGATCACGCTCAAACTGGGCGGTTAACAGGTCCAGATGGCACTGTCAACTAGAGCCCTTGTCAGCATCTCGCTCGAGTCACGCCAGCATCACCTCCGCCGTTGTCCCCAGAACCCTTGCGAATCTGAGCTTTGGAAAGCGAAATGCCCATGATTTCAATGCACAGAATCACTAACAGTCCCGCCGATTGCTCTCACCAACTTCCAGCCATACCTGGCACTACATCTACGCAGGTTGCGGCGCTGGATTTCCAAACTGGGCGGGTAACTTCTAAACTGGGCGGTTGCTGTTGTTTCCAAGCCTCCCTCTGTAATGAGGCGGTTGACGAGCATGGGTCGTAACCATGCGTCTTGTTGCACAATTGCTATGTCTTCGGTCTCCCGCTGTAGCATCGGTGAGGCTCAGCGCAGCCCACCTGGCTGCCACAAGCTTGCCTGTTGCTGCGTGACTTGTGCGACTGTTTGCGTCACGCCCGATCACCTCAGTACCAATGCCTCCGAGGCTGCACGAAGCGAGCTCTGCCCTCCTTATGGGAAACGTGGATGCACATGGGCATGCGGACAGTCCGGCGTTAGCAGTGGAATGACCATGCCAAGCTCCCTTTCCAGCTGATGTTGCAAGATCCTGCAGTTCCCCCAGGTCCTACCAGAACCCCTTCGACTATCCTTAGCGTGTTCGACATAAGGCTACACGAGAGTCGTCGTTTACCATACTACCTATCTCTAAGTAAGGCACTAAGGGGAAAGCACGTCCGGGCCCTTGTCAGATCCTCAATTGTAAGTCAAATGACTGTGGGTGGTGCTTACGTGTCTCAGGGCAATGTATCTTGGCATTGTCTCTCTCCGGGGCAGTACCGCCAGTTGAGGCCCTATGACGTCTTAAATGCAGGGGAGGGCGTGTCACGTGCGGACCGATATTCACGCAGCAGGGGTTTCTTGCTGGATGGCATTACATGCCTTTATTGTGTTCCCACATAGAAGCACCCTAAACCCTAAACCCTAAACCCTAAACCCTAAACCCTAAACCCTATAAACCCTATAAACCCTAAACCCTAAACCCTCTATCCGAGCAATTCTTGAGAAAGCCGTTGGTTCCAAGGCCCCCTCGGAGCCTTTGGCGGCCTTAAAGCGATCAGCCTGAAGAGACTTTCACCCAGTGCACGCCAGTGCACGCTTGCGCATTAAACCCTAAACCCTAAACCCTAAACCCTAAGCCCCACTAGATTGTGGTGCTTCCTTTCAACCTTGCAGGAAGCGTTTTTGAAGCCGGGGAAGCTTCCGCAGAGCGCGGGCTGCTTTACATGCACCCGGGTTGTTGCACAAGGACCGGGATTGTCATGCTTGATGCTGCTTCGCTGATGTGTCTCCTCGCGCGCGTCGCTGCGGTGAGGTCTTTGCGTCGCAAGCGGGCGGCTGCCGTTTTCAGATGCCCTTCTCGGCGCAGGACTGCCACGACGACACCTGGTAGGTCACCTGCGTCTGGGTATCAAGTCGCCTGCCTGTGGGAGCAGAAGATCAAAGTTGTCAATAGGCACCGAATGGAACGCCATCCTGGCACGAAGTCTTCCTGTAAGATCGCCGGAGGGCCATGCTTCATCGCCAATACCACGATTGCACAAGATGACAACTCCTGATGCAGTGGCAGCCAAGCCCGAAAAAAAAAATCGAAGTGCAGGAGTTGCAGGTCCGAACCCCCCCCATCGTATCCCATTGTTCTCGTTGAGGCAATGAGAAGCACAGCTCGGCAGAGCGCAGCGGCTTTCGCCGCGCTGTGTGCTTCGACACCTCTTTCCGCGCCTCTTTCTGCGCCCGACTTTGTCCCGGAGCGAGGTGGAGCTTGGTTGGGCACCGTTTTCCGTCACATGCCAGAAGATGGACGGATTCTTGACAGGAAGCCATGGCCATCTTTCGCCCGGGCTGCGTGGTGATCCGCATGCGAGGGGCCGCACTCTGCCCCGTGTGCCCCTGTGTGCCTTCTCCGCCCTCTCTGACTCCTCCGTGCCCTGCATTGCCACACGGACGCCTGTTGCTGCCGTTGAGACCTCGCCCTGCGAGGTCCTATTTGCGCAAGGCTGGCGGGTCTTTGCATGCGGGGGGGGCCGAGTACATAAACACCTAGCTCACACGTGTGCCGACACGCCGCTCGTGCTCTTGTCATGGCGCTCGCCTTTGAGGGGGGTCTGGCCACAGTTCTTAAACCCTGCCCTGCATGCTCCGAGACGTGCCACTCAGCAGTTTCACCCTCCGTGGAGGGCGCACACAGGTGGCGCTTCCAAAGTGCGAGCTCATAATTGCGGTGGTGCAGCCAGCTGCGGCCGCTACTCCGGCCGCCTGGAGCAGATGAGATGGAAGGAGGCAGCGGGTCTTCTCAAAGCATGCCGCAGTTTGCGTGCATTTGATGCAAGCACAGCGGCATGTCGAAAATGAAGCGTGTTGGAGCTTGCTTGCCGGTTCCCTTTCGGTCTCAGAGAAGGCAGAAGGCAGCGAGGGAAGGGTTAGCAAAGGGTCTGGTTCAGAGACACCCTGCAACCTTCCCAAAGACATGCCAAGAGGGACCCCCCCCCCGCTTGCGTAAGTTTCATCCCAGGTCCCATTCCTGAAGGGGCTGGCCATTTGCAAGCCCTAAACCCTAAACCCAAAAACCCTAAACCCTACAAGTCATCCTGAGGCCTAAGCCCTAAGCACCATCGCTAAAACCCTAAACCTCAGACCCTCTCGAAGCCATCCTAAGCCGAAGCCCCAAAGCTTAAACCCTAGGCCCTAAACCCAACCCGGCTTAGGACCCAGAGTAGGCCCTGGTTCCCTTGCTTTGGGGTTCAGGCTCCCTTCCCAGCCCCCTTTAATAACCAAAAAGGGACCCCCCCCTTTTTTTTTCATTCCTAGGTGACTTTTGAGTTTAGGGTTGAGGGCTTGGGGAGCATAAACCCTTATAGTACTACCTCGGATGGCGTGGTGGACTCCAAGGGGTTGGGCTTGGAGACCACAAAAAACCCTTACGTTGGTGGCTTGGGGTTTAGGGCTTCGGGTTTAGGATTTGGGGGGCTTAGGGTTTAGGGAGCATAAGCCCTGTAGTACTCAGTAGAGGAACCCTGAATGCCAAAGCATCCCTCAGCCCTAAACCCTAAACCCTAAACCCTAAACCCTAAACCCTAAACCCTAAACCCTAAACCCTAAACCCTAAACCCTAAACCTCCTGGACATGGTCCTATACCTTGGGATGTTCCCCCTTGTACTAGCAGTCAATAAGAGGGATTCTGATAGGGGGGTACTAGAATCCTATTAAGGGTTTGTTAGTAGAAGGGGGGAACATCCCAAGTCCTATACCTTTCTTCCAAGGGTTCTCTGAAGTATGGGCCTTGGGTATTCTAGGGTACAGAAGGATAAGTTAGGGGCCCAAATCAAGGGACCAGGCCCTTACATTAAACCTTAAACTACACATGGGTGGCTATAAAAATTACGATCCCTTTTGGGGTACCCTAAATATTCGGTGCCGCATTAGAATCGGGATCCAAAACGGGACACCATCATTTTGACAGCCACCCACATGAGCCTCCAAGTATGCTTGCCTTCACTGATGAAGCTGACAGCGATTGATGCAACTTTGCAGTCTGGCCCCCGGAGAAGAGCTATTCCGACCCGACAAGCACAGAATACAAAGCCCACCAAGGAGCCTGGTTTAGGGCTCAGGGCTCGGGCTTAGGGCTTGGGGTTCAGGTTTTAGGGTTCAGGTTTTAGGGTTTAGGGTTAATTAGTTAGGGTTTACCCTTATACTCAAACAGACCCGAAAACACCCCCTCATCCCTTCAGTGGCCCATCCCCCCGTCGGAAAGCTAACTCGAAGGAAGCTGCATTCTCTCCTAAATTTCGCAGTCCTTAAACTTACTGTTGTTTAGCAGGGAATGAGGGAATGAGACGCCCTATATCCCCCTATATACACCACTTTAAGGGTAAAAAGCTCCTCTTGGCTGGATGGTCAGCTCAAGCTGTGCTGCGGCGACGGCCTGCTACGCACTCCCCATCCTGGCCTGTGCCTTCTACAGCCTCCTGTCTCTCCTGGAGACTTCGGCGTACTTGGAAATATTTTTTAAATTGTTGTGTAGTCTGAAATTCCTAAGAAACAGCAAAAATGACAAGTTTCAGTAAAGGATAGGGTGGACATTCTACCCATCCTGCAGAAACTTCAGCGGTTCTTCGAAAGGGACAGCGCGGAACCGACTCGCGAAACTCACGATGGCGAGAGCCCGGATCCAGTGGTCAAGGCGGGGCAATGGCCAGCCATGTCGGTAGACTTTGCGAAGCCATCGATTGGCCTGTTGTTGTGGTGCTGCTTTCCTGTTCTGGGGTATGCGGTGGTCCGCAGTCTGAGTGGCTGCGAGCAGTGGTTTTGCTGGCAAGTGGAGGCGCAAACAGCCTCTTCCCATGTCCGCAACCTTCTCCATCTGCTGGCTGCAAGCATTCTGCTGGCCTGGCTTTGCAATATCCCCCCAAGCACATCACGGCATCGTGCCTTATTCACGTCTGTGGCAGTCTGCGAGTTTCTGATCAACAAGGCCATCTGGGATAACTGCGAGGACTACATGGCTCACAGCCTCTCTGTTGCTAGGAGCTTACATAATAGGAACCCTAAAAAACCGAATGTTCATCATACATGGCACAATCTTCGTGTTAATCATGATACATCGTACCATTTTCTTCTAGGATTGGTTCTTAGAGAAGCCTAAGCCCTGAACCCCTAAACCCGAAACCCTGAACTGAAGCAAGTCCTAGGTTGGCAGTACCTTCGGCATGTTCGACATCTTCATTGCCTTGACCACCATCCTCACACTGGTGGTCCACACGTGCGAAGGACTTACTGTTGCTTAGTAGGGAATGAGGGAATGAGGTCCCCCGAAAGTCTAGCCTTTTCGGGATTATATAAGGGCACCTCTATCCCCCTCTAATCTACCCCTTTAAGGGATTGCACAGGGTACCCTCTATCCCCCCTATAAATATACCCTTTAAGGGATTATACAGGGTACCTCATTCCCCCATTCCCTACTAACCAACAGTAAGAGGACTGCCCTGCCTACGCCGATGTTTCCAGAGGCTGTCGCAAAAATTGGGAGCCTTGGGAGCCAAATCTGTACCCCAAAAAAATTGGGGTCATATACCCCTATATATATACCCCATGCTGCCATAGCCCACACTACTAGTCCCTTCCCCCTAATACTAAAACCACCCCGAATTTTTAGAGTCCGGGGCACTGTGGGCGTGCATTTTTTTTGTGTTTTTTACTCTCTCGTACTTGATAACTATCGTTCAATCTTCAGGTGATGATCTCTCTCATCTTAATTATGAAATTGCCTTTTCATTATTGTGCGAGAATATACTATGTATGAAGTACTACTACGCTTCATGCCAGGCCTACATCCAGGTGAGTCTATAGAGAACTCACTTCGATGAGGCTGTTGGTCAAGTAGCAGCTCAAAAACTCAAAGGACCAGAGACACGACCCATCAAGTGCGATCGTCGGAACGGTGTCGGTCCCCTCCCAACGACCTACCCTTGCTTCAGCTTTTCTTAGTATCGTCAGAACAAGGAATCCTAAGCTCGCATATTTGAGCACCGGGAAATGAAGGACAGCTATTGGGACAATTGGGACACCCTCCTCACAGGCTCCGATAAGCCAGCATTGCGCTACTCCATGTTTTGAATCTTGACAGGACAATGCTGGCTTTGTAGTTTGTATGTGTTAATTTATTTTGGCAACTTGTTCTTTCGAATGGCAAAGAATGTTGTTTTATTGGATAAATTGTAGTTTCGCAAGGCAAAGTCTTAATCAAATGCCATACGGAAAGTCCGCTGAAGTACTTTGTTTCTCTGCATGAATGTATATTATACAAAGCATTCGCCCTATGCGAGTTTAACTACTGCAGCACTTAGTATATAGCTGAATATTGACTAAATGAATTCAACTTAGAAGGTTGTTTTTTGTACAACTAAAGTACGCACTAGACACCTTGAGTTTCATAAAAATGAAACCAATGCTATTGAAGTACTAGTTAAAGACTACTGATGCGCGATGCCTGAAAAGAGACAGGCTTTAAAATATACAATTCTCATAGTAAAGTAGTTGTTGCCTCACAAAAAGGTCATAACACAAGTAAATTCGCAAACGCAAAAAATATCCGAAATGCAAGCTTTTCAGGAGAACCTCTGATGAAGTTTGGATTTGAGGGTTTTAAAGTCTCTCTAAATAAGTAAAGCAATTGTTTAAACAACTAACTCTAGGCAACAAACCTGTTTCCAGACAAATATTGCTTCTACTAGGCAAAATATTGTTCAACCATGAAATACTCATTACATGTTGATTCTACCAATCTAGCAGTCAGTGAATATTCAATTATTGGGTGAGTACAAGATTTATTGAATATACACAGAATATGACATAATGCTCAATAAATGGTACTTGACTACAGAAAACTAATTCAATTACGTACTAATGAAATACCATGTATATACTATTCGCTTAAACAAGTACAATTTACATAGAAAAGCCTTGAAAAGCACAAATTCCTAAGAACCATACCATCCACCCAGAAAAGGCTATAGTACTGAGCATGGGAATGCGGGGTTTGGGGGTAGAACCAATGCTCAAACGCTCTTTGCATGCTACTTGAATATGAAACTAAATTATTCATCTACCCATTAAATACAGTACTCTTTAAGGGTACGATGCACAGAAAAGTACAATTTGCAAAGAAAAGCGTAGAAAAGCACAATTTTCTTAGAGGGAAGGGGGGCTCAGGCAGTACGGAAAAACACAAAACAGCCACAAACGCACAAAAACACACAAAAGGCTAAAATTAGCAAAAAGAACATGAAAGCCAAACAAATATATTTCAAGATTCTCCACAATATTCTCACGGAAAACCAAGAAACGACAATATTTCATGACTCTCCACCAAATCTATACGGAAAACCAAAAAAAACAAAAAAAAACAAAAAAACCAGAAAAAACAAAAACACCAAAAAAAACAAAAAAAAAAAACAATTTTCAGGGACTCTTCGAAATTAGGCCATCTGCTGGAAGAGTCCTGAAATATTGTTTTTTTGGTTCTTTTGTTTTTTTGTTTTTTTTTTGGGTTTCTTTTTGGTTTTTTTGATTTTCCGTACGGATTTTCCGTACGGTTTTGGTAGAGAGTCCTGATATATTGTTCTTTTTTAGTTTTTTTGTTATCCGTGGGATTGGAGAGTCTAGAAATATTGTTGTTACTTGGGTTTTTTGGTTCTTCAACAGCGACAAAAGGCAGAGAAAGTGCACGCCCACAGTCCCCCGTCTTGAATGTTTAATATTATTTTTCCCGGACCCTGCCGGCACCAAGCCCAATACTAAACCTGTTTGAGAATTTGGGGGGAGCTGTTCAGGGCCTTCGCCCTTGAGTTGAGCCATTAGGTTTCAGGGTTTAGGGCTGAAGGCTGACAGGATTAGGATTCAGGGCTCAGGGCTCAGGGCTTACAGGGTTTAATTAGTTAGGACAGGGTATGCCCCACTTTTTTTACACCCCGCTCAACCCTCACACGTTTTTTTGCTAGGGTCTACCCTACGTTTTCAACATTTCAATAAATTTTTGCTCATTTTTGACATCCGACCCTCAACCGTTCCTCGCAAAAAATCTCAATAAAAAATCAATAATTTTATGATAAAAAATATTAAAAATTTCATCATAAAATTTTCCAAAATTTTCATAAAAATAATATTTCAAAATTTTCATCTTAAAAATCTTCCAAAAAGTATTTGTTGAAAAATTGCATTTTATAAATTATCTTGGTTAAAGAGCTTGGTAAACAATCCTTGTAAACAAATTATTGTAAAAAACTTTGTAAAAATCTTTGTAAAAAATTATATTGTTTCATTCTTCAAATAGTTTTTGACATCATCATTTTGAATTTCTGTTATATTAATATCTATCTTTTTCAGATCTTCGATTTCTTTAAGTATTAGTTTGTTTTGATGTTGGACTGATTTAACATGTTTTGCCTTATTCCCTTGTTTGATTTCATGATTACATATTTCGCAAAATATTAACTTATGATGATATATTTTTGCTTTATCTGCAAGTTCAACCCTGTGTCTCTCTCTGTATAGTTTCTTTTTTTCATTTTCTTCTTCCCTATGTTGCTTCTTAAAGTTTTGGCGCTTTTGACGACATTTGATACATGTTTTAAAGCTTTCAAAATCTTCAATCTGTCTATAACATTTACAAGAATTGCATTTTACCTTCTCGCATTCCATCTTATTACTATTATACGCCCCCACGTCTTTAAGTATATACCCCCGAGGGACATATATAATACTATATATTTTAGTTTTTAAAACTTTTAAAACTTGTAAAAATTATAGCGCGTGTTTTGTTTTTAAATAACACTGTAAATCATTCAATTCTCTTCGTATAGTTTTAATATATTCGTCATCGGCTGGCGATGTATTAAATCGCACTTTCATATTTGTCATTATCTTTTCTTGTTTTAGTAATAATAAGTATTTTTTCCTTCCATAATCAACACTTAATTTATCTAATTCTATTTCAAAAGGTTCTAATATCTCTTGATATTCGCATTTTGTAATGTCCCTGCCTGTCGTGACTTCCTTAACGAGTTTCAACATATATAATACTATATATTTTAGTTTTTAAAACTTTTAAAACTTTTAATCATTATTTTCATATAAATCTATTAATTCTTTTTGAAGCTCAATTTGTTTTTCTAAATATTTCATTTCCTTATCTAAATGTTCCTGTTCTTCCTTTTCTATAACGCATTTTTGTTTAATTTCCTCAATTTTGCTTATCCTACTTTCTTTGATAATTTCTAGTTTTTCTAATTCATGTTTTGCTTGTTTATAGAGTATTTCAAACAATTCATCTTGAACCGATTTTTTCATATATATAATACTATATATTTTAGTTTTTAAAACTTTTAAAACTTTTGGAAAATATATATTTCAATAAAGAATAATAATTTATTGAAATATTTTGAAGCTTTTATTTTCTAAATATTTCTTTTCTATACAAATCTTTGAGTTCTTTCAGATATTGTTTTTTCATTTCTTTATCTCCCGCCGACCTGATCCAATTGTTATACATACTTTTATAGCTTCTGTAAGTTTTAGTATTTATAGTATTTCTGTTGTTAGCTTCTTCGAATACTTCTCTCAATTTTTGAATACCTATTTTGCTTGGAATGATTAATGTAGGTGATGCCATATCCTGCTCTTCTGTTGTTCCTTCCTTCAAATTTGTTTTTCTGGTTAAACGGGTTCGTGGGCGTTCGTTTTGTGGTGGTTGCGGTGGTTGTGGTGGTGGCGCGTTTCCGCTTGAACTTGACGAACCGCCTTCTTGAAAATTTGGCTGTGGTGGTGGCGGTGTTTTCGGTGATGGTCTGGGTCTTGCTTTTGTTCTCGGCTCTGTTGGTCGCTGTGGTATTGGACGTGGTATTGGTGGTAATTCTGCTAACGTAGGTTGGCTTGATGATGCAATCGGTAAAGGTTGTTGTGTAGCACCGACGTTAGGTTGATGTGGTTGTAAAACTATTGAGGGTTGTAAATATTCCATGTTTGGAATTGGCATTGGGTCATAAGTTGTAAATTGACCCGCACGAGGATCTCCTGAAAAGTCTAATAGCTGTCTGGGGGGCGGGTTTATTCTCCTCATTAATGTCTCGCCTAATGCTTGCGCGGCTTCCTGTGTAAGTCCAGCGAACGCGGCAGAAGTAAAATCCATACCGGAAATCATATTGCCCGCAACATTGCCCCCTACTCGTAATGCCCCGCTTCCTAAACTTAATGCCCCGCTTCCTAAACTCCGAAGAATGCCCGAACCACCTTCTTCCTCTCTTTCTAACTGTTGTTGGTGCGCTTGATTGATTGCTTGTTGGTTGCCTTGGTGTGCGGTTGCTACGTTTCCTAATGTTTCATCGATTTGAAACAATTGTTGCTCGGGGGGTGTGCCGAATTCTTCAATAAAAGACATATTGTCGGTGTCCGTTGCAATACGAAACATTTCTGGCGATCTGGGTTGTTCTGGTTCTGGGCGGTCGTGCTCTGTAAATAATGCTCTATGTG